TTAGAAGCACTTGCGATGGACGATGCCAGGGCCAGACTCGTCGTACTCCTGCTTGGAGATCCACATCTGCTGGAAGGTGGACAGTGAAGCAAGGATGGAGCCACCGATCCAGACAGAGTACTTGCGCTCAGGTGGCGCCACTATCTTGATCTTCATGGTGCTTGGCGCCAGCGAGGTGATCTCCTTCTGCATACGATCTGCAATACCTGGGTACATGGTGGTGCCACCAGACAACACAGTGTTGGCGTAGAGATCCTTACGGATGTCCACGTCACACTTCATGATGGCGTTGAAGGTGGACTCGTGAATACCCGCCGATTCCATACCCAGGAAGCTGGGCTGGAAGAGAGATTCGGGGCAACGGAAACGTTCGTTGCCGATGGTGATGACCTGTCCATCGGGCAGCTCGTAGGACTTCTCCAGGGAGGAGCTGGAGGCGGCAGTGGCCATCTCCTGCTCGAAGTCGAGAGCCACGTAGCACAGCTTCTCCTTGATGTCACGCACGATTTCACGCTCCGCGGTGGTGGTGAATGAGTAACCACGCTCCGTGAGGATCTTCATGAGGTAGTCTGTGAGATCACGACCAGCCAAATCGAGACGCAAGATGGCGTGAGGCAAGGCGTAACCTTCATAGATGGGCACGCTGTGGGTGACACCGTCGCCGGAGTCGAGCACGATACCGGTGGTACGACCAGATGCGTAGAGTGACAGCACTGCCTGGATGCCGACGTACATGGCAGGCGTGTTGAATGTCTCGAACATGATTTGGGTCATCTTCTCACGGTTCGCCTTGGGGTTCAGTGGCGCCTCAGTCAGCAGCACAGGGTGCTCCTCAGGAGCAACACGTAGCTCGTTGTAGAAGGTGTGGTGCCAGATCTTCTCCATGTCGTCCCAGTTCGTCACAATGCCGTGCTCGATGGGGTACTTCAGGGTGAGGATACCACGCTTCGACTGCGCCTCATCGCCAACGTAGCTGTCCTTCTGGCCCATGCCCACCATGACACCCTGGAGGAAGGAAAATCACCTTTCGGTTAGGTTACGCACCACTAGGCAAAGGGTAAGAAAGAGATCAGTATCTCCATCTCAAAGTCACTCTCCATTGTCTTTTCGGCCATTGTCCTATAGGCATAATACCCTGACTTGCCAGGAGAGAGTCTTGCACGCACAGGTGGCGATAAGGATTTTTCTCCCAACTTCGCTTCCTTACTGACCAAATGTGCCTACTGCCTTCTAAGATACTTAATTTGTTCTGCAGATATTTCAGTCAACAAGAATGTCTAAACGTTGACACAAACTACAGCGTAAATAAGATTGATATTGCGCACAGCTTCACTACGGTCCTATCTTGGTGGCTGGTTCATGAAAGCGGTATTTCTGCTGAATTAGATAAAAGGATTTAGGAGGAAGAGTATTTGTGGATTCAGAAAGGGGGCACTGGAACTAACCTGGTGACGAGGGCGACCAACGATGGAGGGAAAGACGGCACGAGGAGCGTCATCTCCGGCGAATCCGGCTTTGCACATGCCGGAGCCATTGTCTACTACGAGAGCCTGAACTTCTTCGTCACCCAT